TTGAAGTAAATAGACGTTACAGGATGGGGAAGTGCAGTTTTGTCATGTCAGGATCTCCTGAAAGAAGCGTTCGCCCAGTGTGTCAGAAAACTAACCGAAGTTCCAATGAATTAATTTCTGTTCATAATTCAGAGAAACAAATAGAAAGACTTCCATTAAGTAAGGACAGCCCTAAATTAGTCTGTTTTTCTTTACTCAAAACTAAATGTATTTCCCTGTGACCTTACATTTTCTAAAGAGGTTTCAGTTCTTCAACTTGAAAACTGTCATATGTGACTGTTAAATTTGGAGGAAGGGCTAGCACACGATTAGCTTAACTCAGCAGAAATGTGATAACAGGGTGCAAAAGGTCGATGCGCATTTATCTCAACGACGTTCTACATATATGGTGACTGGTGAGGGCACTGAAGTCCATGGAACTGGTGGGTGCTGGAGACCCTGAATTGGAAAAAGGAAGGATGGTTGCTTCTTTCTGAGCTGACAGGGTCTGATAGCACTCAGTCAAAGATAAAGAGGACTTTAACTTTTAAACATAACTTCCTCAAAACACAGTCATAAAGAAGTTAATATTAAAACTGAGCTGTGTCTGTTCCAGTGGTTGACATTCTGTCATAAAACGGCAGTTTATTAAGCTAGAAAAGATGACCATCTTGCTTTATTGTTCCAGGGGCACAAATATTCAAGGTTTGGTACTTTTAGCCACTTTTGAAACACCGCTACAGTTCCTGTCACACCAAATATGTGAGTTGCCATTTTAAACGACTGTTGTTGTTTTTTCACCTAATCCTGGGCAACAAATTAAATTTCCAAAGTTGTAGAGTATATTGTGACCACCTCTGTAAAAGCAGTTTGATCAGTTAGCTGGTCAGAAGCATTGTATATTTACACAATACCACAATCTTCCTAGGAGTGAATGTCCCAATAAATTCACCCCAAGGAAGTGTAGCCAGAAGGAAAGCGGTTCTCTCTAAAAGAAGAATATAGCAGCATGGCTTAGGTTGGCAAAGTTGCATACGAACCAACCACAAGACTTCTGGGACAAACGAGTCTAAAATGGAGATGTCTGGCCAGAATGCAGAGTGGCATGTCTGAAAAGCAGAAAGAATGTGTCACCACAAACACCTCACACCAACTGTCAAGTGCAGTGGTGGAGGGGTGACCATTTGCGCTGATGCCGTTTAAAAAAAAAAAAAAAAAAAGTTCCTTATGGGGATATGAGAAACTAATAAAGTCATACAGAAAACAATTCAAGTTATTGCTGCTAAATGTGGTCTTACAAGCTGCTGAATCATGGAGTGTATGTACATAGACTTAGTTTTTACGACAATATACTTTGCTTTCTCTTGGACATATAATTTTGGCCTATCTGGAAGATTTCCTATAGTTTCTTCTGATTAGGATACAACCAGTTAAAGATGTAGAGCTAACTGGCTTAAACCAGATGTCACAAGAACGGTGGGAATCTAATAAAATGAATGACACAGCACATTTATACAATAGTTATTTGTCAATAGATAGGCCCACTCTAAGACAGGGCCTGTCTTTATAAGTACCAGCCCATTTACCAGTAGCTCAGCTGAGCACTCTATAAGGTTCATTCACCCAATCTCACACAGATTCATACATCACCTTTATCTATGCCTCTCACTTACATGGATGCATCTGGGAGAACTGAATTAAGTATCTTCCCAAAGGATACTTTAGCTGGAGACAGGAATCAGTCGTCTCTATTGGTAAGCTTGGTAAGCCACCTTTTAATGAGGACCATGAATAGCACATAATATTGTTTTAAAAGAAAATAGAAATCACCCAAAGAGACGTCTGAGCGTTCATTGACTTCTATAGACCTGGGCTTTTCCAAAAGGGGGAGTTACCATTGGATGTTCACAGAAAAGAATGCAGGTTTAAGCAACTTACACAAAGGTGTCACTTTTCAAATTTAGAACGTGCATCCTTCCTTCGCAGTCTATCGTTGGTTGTAGCAGCTGTTGGACTGCCATGTCATGGACTGGCCAGAAAAGCTGCAAAGTATAATATCATTGTATTCTGTTCTAAAAATTACATATCAGTATCTAAGCTTCTTGATCCTATTTAGAAGATTTTACAGTAAGTGATCATTTTTAATGTTTTAAATATTTGGCCTTGATTTTACAATAAATATATCTACTATTGTCAAAACATAACGTCAGAATTCCCTTTTAATCATTTCAATATTATTCTTGGTTTGCCTTCTTGGTGGTCTACAATCAAGTTGTGTTTGTATGAGGGTTAAAACAAAATACAAGTCTATGTGTGCCTCTGTGTAAAGTTAAAACATGAGAAAAGCCAGAGTGTGAGGGCGTGTTCACCCATGACACACTTAAATTGGCTTATTGTGGAAACAAACACAACTGAATTTTTTCCCCTTGCCTTCTGGAGGCAGATCTTTTCCCACAGGCTCAATGAACTGGTATTACAAACACTGCACTCAGTCAAGCATCCCTGTTTCCCAAGATTGTAAATGCATATTTCTTTTGATCTGTTTGCGTTTTATCTTTTCAACTTAAAAAAATCCTACGCTACTACCTTAACATTATCCATTCATTCATCATTATGATCCTCCATCCTAAGCCCTTTATTCAGGTACGGATCATAGGGGCACCAGTCTAAGAAGAGATGCCAGGATCATCTTCTCCCTGGTACCAAAGAGTTCCCCAAGCAAGCTGAGAAATTTTATCTATTCAGCAAGTCTAGTCTGCCCCAGGCCCTCCTCCAAATTGGACATGCACAAAACACCTCACTCAGGAGGCATGCCAGAAGGCATCCCAGTCAGATGTGTGGTGAACAACCACAACTGGCTCCTTTCAATGTGGAAGAATAGCAGCTCTATTCCAAGCATCTCCCCACCCTCTCTCTTCGTGTGAATTTGGCTACCCTTTGGAAAAAGCTCTTGACCAGATCACTTTCAAGCTTAGCTGTCTCTTTACCACACCCAACATGCACAACAATGAAGACGCCACATCAGTCAATAGGTCAGTCTCCCAGTCCCGCTTTACTTCACATATGAACAAGACATTTTTTTTCTGGCTAAGAACCATGGCCTCAGACTTAAAAGTTGCTCATTTTCATTCCTGCCACTTCAAAGTAGGTTGCAAACCACTCTAGTGCAAGCTGGAGGTCATGACTTGATTTAGCCAGCAAAACCACGTCATCTGCCAGCAGATGAGATCCCAAGACCATCAAATCTGCCACCTTAGGCCGCTCAACTGTGCATAGTAATTCTTTCCACAAAAGAATTAGTGACAAAGGGCAACAGCCACTGGAAACTGGCATTGTGAGCCAAGCTCTCATTGCTGTTGTACAGGGACTGAATGGCCCGGAACAACAGGCCCAATACCCCATACTCCTGAGGCAACCCCAACAGGACACCCTAAGGGATGCCAATGAATGCCTTCTCCAGGTCCACAAAACATAGAATAGGTGAGTAAACGCCCACACATCCTTGAACATACTGGAGAGGATAAGAGCCTGGTTACGGTTTCCACAACCAGGACAGAAACCTCAATGCGCCTCCTGAGTTGGAGTTTCAACTAATGAACAGATTGTCCTCTCGAGGACCTTGGCAATGACCTCCCCAGAGGGGTCTGTGTTCTCTGAAGTTGGAACACGCCCTCTGCTTCAAAAAGGAACCACTATCTGAGTTTGCCAGTCCAGAGGCACTGTTCCAGGCTTCCACGCAATGTTACAGAATGATGTCTTAACAAAAGTTTACTAGAGATGGGCTGGCTGTTGCGCTGACTTTCTGTGGGGCACAATAATGTTTTCAATAGGAGGTCAAGACAAAAATCTGGTTCCCTTTCTTAATTATTTTAAGGGGTTTTCCATTGTTGTAAATGAGTAAGTATTGCAAGTATTAGTAATGTCATGCATATCCAGTTAGAATAGTGATTAGTTATATACCCTTAATCAACCTTCTGCACTCTTTTCTTTGATCTATACTACAGGACATTCAGAATTTTTGGTTTTGTCTGGACTGGTTACTTTTCTTCCACATCTCTTCACCATCTCAGAGAGATGGTGACAAGATGTTGCTTGGGCCGCAGGTGAAGTGAGTCACACTGAAACATGCTTTCTGTTTGAGTATTATCTGCTGTTATTTTTTATTTAGCAACCGCAATGACATGAAGACCAGTTAAAGAAGACTTTAGTTTCTTTGTGACTGTTTAATTTGAACTGGATATCTAAGGCAGGCATACACTGCATTGTATGTGTGAAATTCAGAGGAAAACCTGTGAGATAAGATCTAAACACAGATTTTCTGCAAAAGAATACACTCCCACAGCAATTCACATGCTGTAATGTTCAAAACAAAGTTTCTCTGTAACCATGAGACATTACCCACCCAGAAAATGTGGGATGCCTACTATTCTGCAAGAGCACATGTGGCCCTGCAGCATCATAACAGTAGGGATACAAGGAAGTTCAAGAAAGAAGTACAGTCATTTAAACAGCCTTCAGTCGAGACTTGAGGACTATTAAAACCACGAGACCTTCATCATCTGACAGACATCCACAGGCCATCCCAGTTCCGGTTCCTGGGCTCTGTTTACTGATTAACATCATGTGACTTTTCTCTGGAATGTTTGTTAAGACGTGTTGACTGAACCAGCATGTGTTTCCAGGAAACCACATGCATATAATCAGCCAGCTAAACATGCAGCACAGACACTGGGTGCCTGGTTAGCTTACAAATTACACTGTGTGTTACTAGATACCAGTCAAACACAATGCTACATGGGTGGCATTGTTGGCATGCAAGAACAGAGTTCTTTCACACTAATCTTACAGGAGTTATTGCAGATAAGGAGCAAGTCAACAGTTGTCATCAGTTTACAAATAGTTTTACTATTTATATTGTTGTTTACCAGCTCCACACTTACAGGGCTGTAAAAAAAAAGGAAAAAAAAAAAAGAAAGAAAGAAAGAAATAAAAAGGAATAATTTTCCCCTTCTTGACTACTTATTTTTTGCATATTTGCCAGACTTTTGTGCTTCAGATAATCAAAAATATATATATCACACCAAGATAACAGATCATTACATTTATTAAGGGGAAAAAAAGCATCCACACCACCACATATTTGGGAAAGCCGAGTTCAGTGTGGCTAGCCTCACCCATGCCTGATTACTGCCAGACCTGCTGAACCAAGAAACCACTTAAATAGAACCTGTCTGAAAACATGAAGCAGACTAAACGATCTCAGAACTCAACACATCATGCCACAAGCTAAAGGAACTCCAGAACAGATGCAAATGGTTGCAAAGCCATTTCTAAAGCTTTGGGACTCCAGTGAACCATTGTGAGAAGCATCATCTACAAATAGAGAAAAACTGGAACATTGTGTACCTTCCCAAGAGTTGAAAATCTACCAAAATTATTCCAAGGGATCCCAAAAGAACTCAGAAAACCATCTAAAAAAAACTGCAGGCCTCACTTGCCTCAGTTAAGGTCAGTATTCATGATCCGACAATAAGAAAGAGATCAGGCAAAAATGGAGTTCATCGAACCAAGAGTAAAACATGGCGATGGTAACGTGATGTTCCGGGGCATTGCTGCCTCAGGACCTGGACAACTTGCCATAGCTGATGGAAGGATAAATATTGCCCTCAACTAGAAATCCTGAAGGAGAAGCAACTGCAATGAAATGAAGACCATTTGAGGAAGACTTCCATTGGTCCATCAGTTTGTGCCCTGAAACTTAATAAACATACTTGGGTTATGTAGCAAACAATGATCCGAAACATACCAGAAAGTCCACCTCTGAGTTGCTCAACAAACAATCTAAATGCGGATTTTGGAGTGGCCTAGTCAAAGCACTAACTTAAAGATGCCTCAATGTGAGGTTAGGTCATTCATGCTGGAAAACCTTCCAATGAGGCTGAATTAATAATAACTCTACAAAGAAGGGTGGACCAAAATTCCTCCACAGTGATGTGCAAGACTCATTGGCAGTTATCACAATGCTTGATTGCAGTTTTTGTTGCCAAGAGTGGTACTGCATTTTGTATTTACTAGGTTCATCTTTGTCTACTATTACAATTTGTTTGATAATTTGAAACAGTAAGTATGAATGTGAAAACTAAATAAATAAACATGCAGGAAGGGTGCAAGCTGCATTTAATTTCTCTTAGGGTCAACATAGCAAGCTAACATTGATTATAATTAGCTTAAAAGCACACCATGGTTAACATGTTACAAGCAACTAATTCACATGTTCAGCAGACAAGGATGCATTCATTATTAGTGAGCCAATATTGTTTCCTGAGGGAAATTTCTCTCATTACTCATGATCAAATATTTATTAACCTGAGCAAGATACTTTCTGTTTCATTATCATTTCCCACTGGGAAATACCCATGTCATTATCTATTACCCATTACGCATTATCAATAGCTGTCCATCCGCTGCTAAATACTCCATCACTAGGGAGCTTCATTTTGTGTCATTTTTAAACCAAAACCGTGAGCAACAAGTAACTAAATCAGTAGACCTGAGAGACAATTCTCCATGGGTTAGCTTTAGAAATTAGTTACCATTGGTTAACAATATCATCATATGTTAGGGGGATTGGGAAACTTGTAAGGTCTTATTTGTGGGACATGGCAACAAAAAACAACCAAATACTCTTTCCCATATGAGCATAGCCCACTTTAAAAGCCTGGTGGAAAACAAAACAAAACACAAACACATGTGGAAAAACATTCAAAGCTGGAAGCAGAAAAAAAAGTCCCTTGCCAATGTTCGGGTAGGTAAGTATTTGGACAATGAGCTTTTGAAAGCCCCATTAAAGGAGAATAAATTTCAATGTTGATTTAGCAACTGCAATGAAATGAAGATCAATTGAGGAAGACTTCCATTGGTCGGTCAGTTTGTGCCCTGAAGCTCAAACACACGTGGGTTATGCAGCAGAATAATGATCCGAAACATACCAGAAAGTCTACATTTTTTTCAGTTACTCAAAAAAAACAAAACAAACAAAAGAAAAACAATCTAAATGAGGATTTTGGAGAAGCCTAGTCAAAGCTCTGACTTAAAGATGCCTCAATACATGACATGAGGAATCATGTCTCAGCCTCTGAAAATGAGGGACGATGTATAAAAATGACTAAAATGAATACAAACATTACTAAGACACTTTTGTTAAACCATTTAATTAAAGCGGAGAGTCTGCATTTCCATCAAATCTTGTTGGAAATCCACTGTGGTGATGTAAAGAGGTACAGTTACAAAAATCATGTCAGTGTCCAAATCCTCATGGGTTCCTATGCACACAGAAGCTAACCAACAAAGGTGGTTTTTATATTATGTCTCTTTAAAGAAAGGGCCTCATTGTGATGGGAAAAGGAACTAGTGTTTAAGGAGACTCAAGCACCATATCCACCCAAACAGTTCAGACAAATTCAGATAAAAGCCAGGAAATATTTTAGAAAGACATAATAGAATGACCACAATTGTCTTCTTGAGCAAAATAAAACTCCACATCTTCAGTCGTGGCCCTGAAAATGTCTTTTCATCCTTCAAAGCTATGCGAGTCACGTCTGGTTGCTATTTTAGAGCCTTTTCAAGGTTTAAACCATCAGAAAAGGCTTGTTTAGCACAGCAGGAAACACAATGGTGTTTAAATGTGGGTGGACCAGCCAAAGGAGTGCTTAACAGATGCCTGAAATCCTGTGTTTTGTCCACCCAAACCATAGCATGTAGCCTCAGAATGAGGAAGAGTAAATTAAAAAAATAGAACACTTGTTGGTCCTTTATTATAACCTGTCTTATCTGTGGATAATGACTCAATTAACAAAATATAAGGGAAATGACTGGCATTTGTTGGAAGCTGGAAAGTTTGACTCGTCTACAACTTTTGCAAATGGAAGCAAGAATTTGCTGAAAAATAGAAAACTACAACTTCACTATATTATCTGAAGAGTTTGATGCTAGCATGCTCTGTGTGTTGCAGCTCTATGAGGTGGGTGTGGGCCACTTGTTTGCTCGGATGTTTTCCATTTGCTCTGGAATGTTCTTAGAGCTGTTGGTTAGAAATGATCTAAGACTGAGCTAAACACATACTGCAAACCCTCCCACACAGGAACTACATGACATTAAGATTTCCATACTCAGCTGGGAATCAAAATCCAAGAGTTTTCTGAGAGTTTAAAGGCTAAAGTGGGGGTTTTTCCAGCTATAATACTGGGACACACACATTGTGGAAGAGAAACATATCCAGATATTGATAGAAAAACATGAACAAAGGGGTTAGTATTGATTTAATAACATCTCTTTGGGAGTTGTAAACAGGAAGTGTAATGTTGCTTTGGATGTGGGCTGCAGCTGGATATATTTATTTAAATTTGAACAAAATGGGTATTGAAAAGGTCTTGTTTGCAATGAATCCACATTTGAATAGACAACCATAACTAGGCTAGTTTGATAATAAAACGTAAAACCTGATGGCACTCCAGCAACTACAGAAAAAGCATCTGGGAACCACACTGAGCCACTGTTGCAGCTTATTAATGTGAGGATTAGTGACCTTACAGTCCCTTAAAGTCTTTTAATGAAATCTATTTACTATTTTTCTCCAAATTTTTATTTCGATATATCCAACACAGTTAGTATTATCATCATTAAGATATACATCAGTTAAGTTTTGTTCCAAATTTCTGTCTTTACCCGTTTCATTTATATAAAATTTATTTCTGCTCATTGTTGGTGAAACTGTTTTATAGAAATCTGACTCCGTGAGCACTTTGGAAGAGAAAAGCGTCAAGAAATGGTCAGTTAGTTTTCACTAACTCGGATTTCCACCACTACATGCAGTAGTGCATTTTTAAGCACTTATGCTACAGTCATGAACTGCAAAGGAAAGTCCCAGTCTGGGGTGTCAGATTTTCTGGCTAAGCTCAGCATCAAATATCCAACAGAAACACAAAAATCTGTAAATGTCTTCAAGAAAACACCAGCATAACTTACTTCATAAGAAATTGTGTTTTTTTGTTACTACTAGCACATTTTAACCTGACCATTCAGATTACCTCCACAGTTTTATGAGTTATGGTTTGGTTAAATAAAGGCAAAAATTTAGAGGATTAGATGCTGACCTCACGTTCTCAGGCCATATCACAGTTTCTGTGTTGGTGTAAAGATTCACAAAGCAAACTAAAGCAAGTAACAGTGCAAATAACTAGCAAACTGAGCCCCACCTGTGGAGGACATTGCTTTACTACAAAACTATCACTGGAAGATCAGGGGATTTCTTTCATGTGGCAGGACACCTGAAACAACACAGACCATTTTGTTTCACGCATCACTTAAAAAGCGACCTTTATCTTATCCACACTGATGCAAGGCTGGCACCACAAAAGTAAGATCTGAGCTAAATAAACAAGCATGACGGACACTGGCAACAACACATCAAAAAAGATGAATGCAGTTCTTGTGAGGGTTTAATGAGCAGTAAGCAACCGGTCTTTGTCAGAAACATAAAAACACAGGAAATGCAGCAGCATTTTCAAAAAGAGTATCTTCAAAGTGGTGGACATAATGAGATCTAAAAAAGAGGAAACAATAAGGCAGATGATGTCCTGATTATGTTGAGGAGTCTCATTCACCCACATTAAGACATAGAATAAAAACAGTATTCATGGAGTGTGCAGGTACTTCTGCTTTTTATTGCCTTTTCTGTCTTTTTATGTTCACTCAACCCAGTGGACTGAACTCGGCTTGAAAACTAGTATATGACAACAGCTGAATTATAATGATCAGTTCATTCTGTTCTATCTGCCACTGGAATTCTGAGTAACCATCTGAAAAGGTTAAACTGCACGATTACTGCAGCCTAAACCTTTTTTATACCATAAAAAAACCAACCTAAATACAAATATGTTACAAAGATAATTACTTTAGTTATTTCATTTCCTAGAGCCTCAGAGGGAAAAAGTCAGTTCTTCTCCATTCAAGGCAGCCATGCTGCATTTAGACAAAAGATGTCTAATGCTCACATTTTGTCCCACGTGCTGCACCTGTTTGCAGCTGTTACAGGTAGAAAATCAGTCCCACGGGTGCCAGCAGTGTAAGGCTTTGAAGTGTTTCTCTGAGAGGTTACCAGCCCATTTACGAGTTCTGAGAATCACAATCAAAATGCTTGCAGTGGAAATCCCAGCAGTGTGTGTGGTCCAGATGCAGAACCCAGAAGGACAGGTACGAGCCTCAGCAAATCTCTCAAAGGGATGCCCAACTGGCTGCTAAGTAACAGTAAGTCCCCAAGTGAGCTGCAGCCTGCATGTGAAAGAATAAAGCCTTAAACAAGTGTATAGTTTTCATCATATGAATTTTTTTTGTACAATGGTTTCAAGATGTATGGATAGATAGAAACATATATGTATATATATTAAATAAATAAATAAATAAATAAATACACATGACATATAATGTAATTGCAAGGAGGTATTTCTGTAGTCTATTGATACTAGATAGTGGAAAAGGGGTGGGATTAAATAAGCTTATGCTTCTTCCTGCTCCTTTTTGAACAAGAACATTATTTGGAGTTGTGGTTGCTCGTTTTCCTTTTGTTTTGCTTTGTTCATTTGTCTCTTTTAATTCTATTTTGTTGTACTTTTTCAACATGTTCAAAATAAAGATTCAATCAATCAATCAATCATGATGGTAGAAATGCTACTTTCCCCCTCTTAGTTACATTGTAGCGATCTAAGTCATAGAGGTAAATTCTTGATGCTGTCAACAGCATGCTGGATGTTTACATGCAAAAGTACAAATGCAGTTTCATGTGAGCGTATGTTTGTCTTACCCTCCAGCTGTGTGTGTGCGTTCTTGAGGTAGGGGATTGACCGGTACACCAAGAAGCAGGCCAACATGATCGATTGGGTGTCCTTTGAGAGTGCCTCTCCCTTCATGTAGGTCCTCAACACAGAGTTGTTTTCTAGGAAAGAAAACAGATATTTGATGAGATGAGAAACAGACTTTTTTTTTTTTTTTTATTTACATTTTTTTAGGCTTATACCGGTAATCAATTATCTTACTAGAAAATGCCTTTTTCCATTCTTTCTTTCTTTCTTTTTTGAAACCTGATACCTGTCATGTTTTTGTCTTCTTTGCTCATACATGGTAGAGTGAGCCAATGTGGATTACAGACACTGAATGAATGAACAAAAGAAAACTAAAAACAGAAAAAAAAGTGATTTTTGTGCCTAAAACCAGAGGACCCATAGTTTTCACTATCCCAAAAGAGGATATCCACTTGTTATCCCTCTGGAACTATTAGGTCCGACTGACGCTTAGCACCAGTGATCTGGCGAAAGCCAAGGACTTTATGAAGGACAGTTCTGCACTGAAACTGGAGTAATAAAAGGCTGCTTAAAAGCAAAGTAGCAGCTGTTCAACAGGCAGTATTTAAACTCTGTTTACAGTTCCATTTTAGCAAAGGTGACAGCAGATAGAACAACAGATTCATGGTTTGCCCTCCGTGGCATTGATGTTATCAAGTACATTTTGTAAAAACAAAACTTTACTCGTTGCTATCTGGAATGTGCGTCGTGTCAGCAAGCCATGTGGCAAATATGCAGTTCTGCACATTTGCTGCATGTGGCATGCAAAGTCACGCCTTGATTTACTTTCAAACAAGCCAATTTACCTCAAAACTGTGTAATCATGTCACAAGACTGTAGAAATGCGTTTCTGTCCCCAGGCTATGCACGCATCCTTAAATATATTTCAACAGGAAATGCCCCTGGTGATTTTAAGGGTGGAAATCTCCATCTCTCTCAGAACAGTTGTGTGAGAAAAGGTCTCAGAAAAATAAGTCCTATGCTGCTGAATTTCCTTACATTTTCTAAAAACACAATTCAAAACTAATCTTTAATTGATAATGGTCCCTTTTAGTATTGCATGAAATTCAAAGAATCCCATTGGGAAATATCTGTGACTTCTTGTGTACCTCAGTATCTTTTATGAATGAATTCACTGCTGCATGCAGTCACTTCTCAGAAAGATACAAGGGTTGAAACAAGAATCATAAAAATAACAAGCAAGCTCTTGATACATATTTCATTCATGGTTGAGTTCCAGAGAACTTCACATTCCCGATGCTTGAGGTCAAGCTAGTTTGGATTTCCTTTCAGCTGTCTGCCAGAGGCGAGAGGCGTCACAAAACATAAAAGTAAAGGCATGTTTGAATTATTTCTTGAATGCAGTCCCATCCAACTACTTCACCTGTTTCCCACGCTGCTTATTGTGCATTTATTACCATGTGGGTGTGTTAGTGTACTTGTGTGTGCAATTTCTGTGATGGAATGCGTGTTTGTTTAAGTATATACACAGGCTGGTTAACTTCTAAACTATGACATTAATGTGCTACACCCGTTACAGGAAAACAAGCTGAAACACATCCTGCCTGTGAAATACTCTGCATGTGACACTGCTGCTCAGCAGAGCCAACTCTTTGTCACATGCAGGCACTGCAAAAATAAATGCTCACTAGATCTATATCTATTATCTATCTATACATGTTATGTGTTCACATAGTCTATACTTGCTGATATTAATGCATCTAATGTCAAGCTTGTTTATCAGTAGAAAAAAAACTGATTGCTTTTGAAGAATGTCTAGCTAACAGCTGACTTTCCTCAGCTGACACCTGTCATATGGTGGCCTTCTGATTCTCTCTCATACAACTTGTCACATTGTCCTTAAAGTGGACTATTGCGCCAATTCCTGCTCCACTCAATTCTATTTTAATCAAACAGAACAATATGAAAACAAAGGTCACCCACATTATTACAGAGAAAACTGCACCAATCAGATAATCCCCTATGCACAAGCAGTAGGCAACAGTAAAAACAACAGTAAAAACAAGATTTTAGATTTAACAGGGAGCCATAGAAGAAAATCCGTGTCACTACTCTTGCTCCATTATTTTGGATTAAGGCTTTTCAGAGAACTTTGAGAACAACCTGATAATAATGAATTACAATAGTCCCATGTAGAAGTAATAAATGTATTAAGTAGCTTTCATCCTAAGTAAGGATGTTTCTAATTTTAGAGAGATTGTGTTGATGAAAGAAAGCAGTTCTGTATTTTTACTTAATGTGAACACTAAATGACATAACCTGCTCAAAAATGACTCCAAGATTCTTCACAGTTTTACTGGAGGCTAAGGTGATGGTATCCAAAGCACACCAAAAACAGAGAATGCTGTTAGATTAGTTTTCTATGATTCACAATTCTAAATAATCTAAATAATAATATTTTGTATACTAGGTCTTGATGCAGGGCCTCAGTTCAGCCAATGCCTGAAACAAGCCCTTGCAGTTCCTCTTCCTTTTAACCATTTTTTCTGATTGGCTGCCCTTCATAAAGAGGTGAATGTGGCTGCTGTACTCACAGTTAGAGCTGTCTTTGAGATGACCATATTAAGAAAATCCTCTTTCATTATAAAAGTTCTGGGCAAAGTTAAAGAGGCAAGATTTAGATGGTTTGGACATGCGCAGAAGAGGGACTGTGGATATGTTAGAAAAAGGATGAGAAAAAGAGGAAGACCACAGAGAAGATTTATGGATGTAGTGGAAGATGGGGAGTGTCTCCTCCCCTGTCTGTTATGACAGAGGAGGGCGCTAGGGATTGGATGAGATGGAGGCAGATGATCCACCGTGGCGACTCCAAAAGGAGCAGCTGAAAGGAGATTATAGAAATTCAAAAATGAAAGGGAGGGGGATACAGATAGATAAATGAATGAATGAATAACTAAATAAATAAATGGAGCATTCAGGACAGTCTAAAACCTGAGATCTGAAAAATTCCCCCTGACGTTGTTGATATATATTGTAAGAAACGCTTGAAAAAAATCTATTATTCAATGAATAAGAGACAATTATTAACACCGTTTCAACTCGACAGAGAGCAGGACCCACAGTGAGCAGAAGTTGTGTTTGCTAAATGTGTTACTGAATAGGGTAAGACATCTGAGCCTTTGCTCAGCATTCTTCATGTTGTTCTCATGTTGATACCATCAATTGATACCCAGATCAGACATCTGTAGCAGCAAACAGCAATCTGTCCCGCATCATGTGCTTTCTTCTACCAACACATTCAGCACAGCTTTACATCTGTTTAAATGTGGTGTAACCAGGCAAGAAATGCAAACAGATTCTTTGTTACACAGCACAGAGGAAAGTCCCATCTCTGTTGGTCAAGAATGTATTTGGAGTTGAAACATTCCTTTCTTAACATTTTAACAGCAGCGCTTTGGGTAAAAAGAAATTAGGTACAGATGTGATCTTTGCAAGACAGATGTTTGTGCAAGCAAACACCAAAAACCTCAACTCAGGAACTGACCTGTTAGCACATAAAAAACATCAGCTTTTTTGGGGTGTAGGGCGTACTTGTTATACATAAAACAGTTTTTATACATGACTGCAATGCACCCTGAGTGTTTGATCCAGGATGAAATAAGTCATTTTTATTATTAGTTTTTATGATTGACACATCTCGATTAATCATTAACTACACTAAGTGCAGATATAGTTAGTGACCTTGGGTTTAACTGCTAAAATTTTTTATCAAACACTATCAATTAGTCCTCTGTGACCTGACTAGGCTATTTTTAGTTTCAGTACAGACTCTTTAGTTTAAAGGTATGTAAGATTTAACCTCTCTTCATTAATCCTTGAATTACCCCTCTTACAGTTAGTCCCACAATTTGTTGAATGAAGACCATTTTTGTAGTTATGCCTCTGCACACAGTCACAGTGGATTCCCTTTCCCCTTAAATGCTCTGCTAGATGTTTACTAACTGCCTTTAACTAATGTGTGTTTGTGGGTCTCTATGTTCAGCTTTGTCTTCAATTTTGATTAATTTTTTATTTGATTAATTTACATGTTGAAAGGGAGTGGGAAGACGTAAACACTTATTTAATCCCACCCCTTTGCCATAAATTATCAGTTAATATTTAGTCAGCTTCCTTACTGATAACTGAAAAGCAAGCTCTACAAGGTTAAGATCAGATGACTAACTTGACCATTGAATAATATCCCATTGCCTTGAGAAAGGTTTAGATTTCTCTTGCTTTATCCTTCGGGTCAGGTCATCCTGTGCTTTGGGTTATGATATCCTATGGTTCAGGTTATTCTTTCAAGTACAGCCCTGTTGTGAAGTTGTTGTTTTTTTTCTTAACCACCGAAATAATTCCGTCATTATGTACTTTAGTTATCTTCTGTGCTCTTTTAGGCCTTTGGGTGTTGCTGAGGTGGCCAGTGCATTCATCTGTTTCAAGAATGCACCGGATTGATTGTCTGGTCACTCCTAAAGTGGTTCCTCTCTAATAGATTTACTCTGGTTTCTCAGTCTAAAGATGGCCTCCTTCATTTGAACTGGTATCTCTTCATTTCTTCTTCTATCTCAATGAAAAATACAAATTCAACACTTGTGGTTTACGGAGGAAAAGCTGCAAAATGTGTCTTTGTCCAAAAAACCCCAAAATAAAACTATGGACCCAATTAAAGAAAAGTTCTGAACATGTAATCTCTCTTCACCTTTGAGCCAGCTGTCGAGTGTGGCATCCACCGCATTCTTCATGACCGGCAGAAATTCAGAGGTAAGCAGGGTGTCGCGGCGGTTCGCAGGACCTCGCTGCATCCTGCTGTCCCACAGTTCCACTACCAGACGCAACTGCCACAAGGGAAAGGTCTGCAGCAAATCACCCCGACGCAGAGCTGACACTGCCTGAGAGACACCAGCAAAGGCAATGTGTTCATGTGTCTTAACAGATGTAGAGCACTTACTGAAGGTCTGTCAGGCGTATCTACCACTGGACATTTAAAAACCTTGCAAAATTATTTGATTAGGACATTAGCTTATTTTTTTTGTGGTTTGTTAGCCACAGCTTTATTTCTGTATGAATTTGTATTTTAAAAAACAAAGCAAAACTCTGTACTCCAGGGGAAAAACAGGCTATAAAGATTCTGTGGTATGAGACAAAGGAACTTTAAATATAACAGGTAAAACTAAAAAGTAGGAAAGGCCACTTAACATTCTAATACACCTTCCAATTTATCTGATATATATACATATGTATGATGTATATACGTAGTTATACCCTGTTATTGGTCTAGATTTTTGATAACCGTGATTCAAAGAATATTATGTGTTTGTAAATGAATTTTCTAACTTTAAGGTAAATATTTTTTCAGTTCATTTCACTTAGTCATTTAAAACTTAACTCATTCACTGCCAGCCATTGGCAGTGAATGAGTTAAACCCATTGACTCATTCACTGCAATTGACGGCTATAGACGTCAATGGCAGTGAATGAGTTAAGCCAACCTGACACACACTAGTATTTCATTTCATGGAATTTCTTTTCTGGAACGTTTGTGTTACTGTTACTTGGTTGTTTAATTGCTTTACAATTGCTAAAATGTACTGACAGGGAAGAGTCGCCTCTCTCTCACATAATCTGTGCGTTTGCGTTACCTGCTCGATAGCAATATATGTGGGCAGCATCTCTGGACACTCCTGCGTCACACATTCGTACAGCATAGCTGAGAACAACACTAGAGTATCTTCTCTCTGCAAAGACAAAACATGGAGTGAGCGTGTGGCAATTTGACAAGGCTCAAGGTCTCACAACATCCAGAAAAATGTCTCCCTCTCAAAAAATAGATGTGATTTAAGTTCAGACTACTAAGCTTTACAAAAGATTTTAGGTTCACTAAATACAGGGAGTGCAGAATTATTAGGCAAATGAGTATTTTGTCCACATCATCCTCTTCATGCATGAGTTGATCTGAACCCCATTGAGAACCTGTGGTCCATCATCAAATGTGAGATTTACAAGGAGGGAAAACAGTACACCTCTCTGAACAGTGTCTGGGAGGCTGTGGTTGCTGCTGCACGCAATGTTGATGGTGAACAGATCAAAACACTGACAGAATCCATGGATGGCAGGCTTTTGAGTGTCCTTGCAAAGAAAGGTGGCTATATTGGTCGCTGATTTGTTTTGTTTTGTTTTTGAATGTCAGAAATGTATATTTGTGAATGTGGAGATGTTATATTGGTTTCACTGGTAAAAATAAATAATTGAAATGGGTATATATTTGTTTTTTGTTAAGTTGCCTA